CGGGAATTGAGCAGGCTAAATCATAACTTTTATATTTTTGGAAGATAACCTCTGTGTCACCACTTTTGATGTGCGTTTTGGGTCGTTACCGTGTTGAAAACGCCAATTTTCCATCATGTTTCTTCCTGCGTATTGTAGCACATTGTTGTTTAACCTGTTAACCGGGGAATAAACTTTTGCTCAACTCGTTTCACAATGGGGACTTTTTTCTTCATAATTATAAGTAATATCATCACACCTCAATTAATAAAAGGAAATGGTCTTTAACTTATAAAAGTCTTTATAGTGCCTTGTTGTCTCTTAACCGTTTAAGTGCGGGAGAATTTTCTTATGCATATGCTAAAAGTCCGGGATGAAATGCGTAGTATTTCTTTTTTTGGGAAACAATGAAAATGGTTATAATTAACACTAATTGTTATGTAACATTCGTCTCTGTCGCCATTGTAGTGAAGAGCGAAATTGAAAAAATCTTATTGAAATATTCAATTGGTTTCGCATCAGGAGGAGGGGCATGCTTTGGTCCAGGTACTTCAGAAAAAGTATTCGATTTGTTCGAAAAAATTGTATCCACGGGTAAAAACTCATCAATAATATCGTAATCTCTTAGAACGAATGATGATGTCACTTCCACTATCGCTTTCAAGGTCATTACTATACTCTTCATTATCACTTCTCATAACATAGTCATTTTCAAATGAATCAGAACTTGACATGGGTTATTTCGTAATTATCAGTATAACACTTGGTAAAAAAATGAAAACAATTTCCAATTCCTATAAAACAACTGCTACTGATATCACTACATCTGCTCTCAATAATTGCGTGAAGTATACTAACCAACAGCAGCGTCTTCGCATTCTCGATACAAAACAAGAGAAGCGCTATTGCGCTGCGCCGTATTTTTGGCATACAAGTGAAGCGCGATAGTGCTTCCCCGGACTCAAACGGTTAAGGTCCAAAAGATGCAATATCCTCCCCACTCTGTGACCAGATCCTACTAGAATACCCTAATCTCTGCGCACGTGCCACGCATTTTTTTGATCCTCAAAAAAGAAGGCATCGACCTCTAACCATAACATTCGCGACTCTTAGAATTCGTCGCGGTCTCTAGTAGAATTCGTTGCGGTTCCTAGATATCGGTTACCACCGATCCTTAGCTCCATGACGGACATGAGTTTATATTATTGTCATCCCAAGACCCCTGAGAACCGGGTCAAAATCCGGGATACAATGACTCGACGCATGTGCCACCTTTGCACACGGCTTGACATACTACAGTATTCACTCCGTAAATGTTAAAAAGATCTCTACCGTAAATGTTAAAATTCTATCCCCACTACTGGGGGGATCCCCCTCGAAATCAGTCAAGGATGAAACACGATCGGTCGTCGAAACGACGAGGATCGAATATCGGTGAGACACATACTAATGCAAGCAAAGGAAGAAATTGTAACTTTCTTATTTCTTACTATTTTTTTATGAAACTTTTACTGTTGCATTTGTCTAGATTTCCTGATTAAAATGACACCAAACATGATATAATTACGTTAACAATTGTGTGTGTAACGAGTGATTAAAGTTTTTAACATAAAAGAGGACGGCGAATGGAAAAGAAAGAGAAGCAGAAGGTTGACGCGTTCGGCAAACATGAAAGACTCGTGCGTTTTCTGTCTTTTAAATTCAAAAATTAAAATTCTATATTTTTCTTTAATGAAAGTAATAGGACCACCAGTGTCTATCAAAGTTTCTAACTGCAGACAACATTTTACATCTGGTACGCTCAAATAAAAAATAACAATTTCTTTAAATTCGTCTGCCTGACTAGTCGTTTTCGAAATCAAATTTACCTGTGGCCTTTCGTTTTTTGGACAATCTGTAATAGTATGATTTAACTCACCGCATTTGAAGCATGAACCTCTTTCTATTTTCGCTTGTTTACAATCATTGGCGAAGTGTCCGCTGTTACCGCAATTTTAACTTCTAACAAATTTAGACGGTCCGGTAGCACTTTCCTTGAAATTGGCCTTGATATTCCTTGATTCCATTTTTCCAGCTTGTCCTTCCCTCGCTAGTCGATCTCTTCGGTCGAATAATGAAATTTTTTCAAACGCTGCCAGCAACTCAGTTTTGGACGTGAATCGATAATCTCTTTGTTTGCAACCGGCACACTATTTCGCATGATTAACTTTGAATGATAACAGTCACAGAATGCTTCACCGCGTTTCCATATGCCCTCTTCAAACTGCTTTCGTAGTGTTAATTTACTGACACGCCGATCAAACATATTCTTTATCTCTAGTAATAGATCATTAAGGGGCATTTCTATATGACCTACGCGCGAATGCAATCACACAAGCGCTTTATCCTTTAATTTGCTTGCAATCAGGATCTTAGCAGCACTATCGTCGAGTTGATACGTACCGCACAATAATTTTACTTGCCGCTCTCAATGCACAAAAGACGAACTATTTCCATCAAAGTCACACAACAGATCGCTCACTGCCTTCACAATTGTCCCCTGCGGTGCTTGCTGCGAAACCACACTAGATTGTGGTGAGCCTCTTAATAATTCTTTTTCTCTGTGAATTAATTTTAGCTTCCTTTGCATAATGTCTTTTTCTTTTCGCAACAATTCCATTTTACGCAACATAATCGCAAAATTTATACATATTGCTGGCACCTGAGGTACCTGCACTTTCCCTGTTCGCTTGAACTCCAGCCGTCACTCCCTCCTCCGCATTGGACACAGCGGCACATTCTTCGTCCTCTTCTGGAACTATATCGTCTATCCACGCTCCCGACGGATCGGCTGCTATTAGCCTTTCAATTATATCCGGTTTATTTCCTATACTTGGCAATCCCAACGTAACCAATTTTTGTTTTAACTGCGAAACTCGAAAACTCCTTGGATCTTTCATTGTTCACTTATACAAAGCAAGACTAATCTTAGCATCTTCACACAAAAATAACTGAAGTCTTTGTTGCACGGCACAATCACAAAACATAAAACTTTGCACAAACTAAAAACTCACAACGAATCTTAATTAGCCTCGAATCCTACTTTTGAAATTTTGCGAGCGATTACGGGCGTTTTCTATGACGGTACGCGACATAATGCCCCGAGGCTTTTTTTTTTTCTCAAGATGGCGACGAGATGTTGAGGTAGGGCAACCACAAACCCGAGGTGACAGTTCTCCCCATGCACAATAGATGGCGGCCTCCTCTAGAGTCGTTCCTGCCAGCCTTAGCCGACTTACCGACAGACATGAAAATAAAATGTCGTTAGCGACCTGAGATTAAAAGTGACCTGAGATAGGGTGTGGAAAATGTGCAAAAAACCACAAAAAACGGAAAAATAGAATAAGCAGAAAAGGGATGAACAATCACGGCCAGGGGGAGGGGCCGGTTTGAACGAGCGAGACAAACAGCCCGTGAGAACGGATACGAAATTTACAGGAAAGACATTCGAGAGGAAAATAGACAGAAGAAACTCAAGAGAAGCAAAGCAAGAGTAAAAACTGGGATGATAATTAGGTTAAGCATGGTTGGCTAGTTGGTTGAACCTATTAGTAAGAGGAAATCTATGTTTAATTCTATATGGAATGTTATGAATATTGAAGTTTTTAAGGTCGCGAATAAGGAGATTTTCAGGAACATCAATGTTAAATCCTTCAGAAAGGCGTAAGACATATTCGTCTAAACAAGGAGTGTGAGCCATAGCACATAGGTCAGCTGTTCTAATAACGAGGTGTGTGAGCCATAACACATAGGTCAGTTGTTCTAATTACGAATGGGAATTTGGGAATATTCAAGATAAATTTAATAATTTTGTTTTGCACACGCTGAAAAGAAGCTTGCGCGAGTCCGAAACACAATCCCACCAGACCACGGACCCGTACGTGAGCACGGGTCGGATGCACATGCGGTACAAGGCCAACCTGATGTTAGAGTTCAAGTTTGAAGATCTCGCTATGTGTGGCTTAAGTACTCCGAAAGCCTTCCAAGTTTTGGCTATACGGTCGTCAATGGCCGGAATCCAGTTGAGTTTATTATCAAGTATGATTCCAAGGTATTTCACCGAGTTGGACTACTCAATCGAGATGCCGTTCACCTTAAGGGTGGTGCAAACGGGCTCACGCTTCCTGGAAAAAACAATCGCTTCAGTTTTATCAGCGTTGAGAGAAAGTTTCCATTTCGCGAAGAAATCAGTAATGAAGTCGAGGTAAGATTGAACGCGAAGACAAGCCACATGCACCTTGGAGGAAGAAGTGAGTAACGCGGTCTTCAGCATATAGAGCAAGCATGCAGTTAAAAAGAGAAGGAATGTCATTGATGAATATATTGAAAAGAACAAGGCCGAGAACAGACCCTTGAGGCACGCCCGCAAGGACCCGACGAGGGGAGGAACAGGACCCATCAGCCTTGACAAAAAAGGATCTATTGGAAAGATAGTTAAAAATGAGCATTATTAGATTCCGGTTAAATTTAAGGGAGTGAAGTTTAAAAATCAGAGCATGGTGCCAAACAGAATCAAAAGTCTTTGCCAGGTCGAGCAGGACCATGACAGAGGACTTATTAGTATTAAACCCGTGAATTATACGTTGGGAGATTCTAGTAATCTGGTGTAGGGTTGAATGTGACTTCCTGAAACCGAACTGTTGGTCAATGAGAATTTTTTGATCTTTTAAATGACTATTGATTGATCGGGAGATGATTATCTCAAGCGTCTTCCCGAGAATAGAGAGCAGGCTGATGGGCCTGTAGCTCGAAGCCTGGTCGGCAGGCTTGCCGGGCTTGTGGATGGGGACAACCTTCGCCTGTTTCCAGTCGACAGAGAAATAGGAGTTAATCAGACAGAACTGGAAAATGTAGAAGATCTGTACGATGAGCTTTTTGGAGGCATTTTTAAGCATAGGAGCAGAAACTCCATCCTTCTCAGGAGCTTTGGAATTTTTAAAACCCGAGATAATATCAGCAACAGCCCTCGGAGTTAGATCAACCTATGACGTTGGGGAGGGGGTTTGATTTCTGGAGAACTCCGTGATGAAGTCGTTGACCGTTGACTGGAGGGGAGAGCTGGCAGCGCTGGCCTCGATGTAGACTGACTCAAACTGGTCCGCGAGAATTTCAGCTTTTTCAGGCGCACTAGAAATAGGCTGGCCACCCTTACTCAAGACGGGAAGCGGAGTACTTGTAGATTTACCGGCAAGAATTTTGTAGACTGGCCAAAAAGTAGGGTTCGGTTTTTTGAAGGAACTGAGTTTATTAATCCAGTCCTTATGTGTAAGATATGAAATTTGTCTTTTGATGGAAGCAATAAGGTCGCGAGCAAACGGGTGTAAAAAGGAGGATCCAAAACGCTGGGCGTGCTTTCTAAGATGTGTCCTTTTCCTGATGAGCGAGAGGAGATAAGGATCATTTTGAAGAAACGCGTGTCGAGTGCGAGCTGTGTCGATTTTCAGGGTGACAGTCCTTCTAGCGGAATGCATCAGAGTGACCATGCTCCGGTTAACATCATCGATATCCCGCGGACCAGCGAAGGCAGAACGCATGTTAAAGTTACCCGTCAGAGATCGATACTTCTCCCAATCAATCTCAACATCAATCCCACGGGAGGGGCTCTCCGTAGATGCAGCAAGGACCACTGGAGAGTGGTCAGAGGGACCCAGGTCACGGGTGTCACATATGAAAGAAAGGTCCGAGTCTATCAGAAAGATGTCTAAGGTAGAGGGGCTCACACCAGGGGCCAACCTGGCGAAATGATTTGGGAAAATCACGTCATAGTTGTTGTTGGAGAAGTGATGATATAATGTCTTCCCGCTGTGGTTGGCCCTGGAATTGTTCCAATGGCGGTGCTTGGCATTAAAGTCACCACCGATGACGAATGGAGAACCAATACTGATCAGCTTATCCAAATGGGAGGGAGAGAGAGTGGTGGAGGGAGGGACGTAAGCCACCCCCACATAGAATTTTGGATGCCTCAATTTAACAGCGCAGAACTCAATCCCGTCAACTCTATTTATGTTGATCACGGAGTGAGCGAGATTTTTATTAAGAAGAATAGCAACCCCACCTCCAGTACCAGAGACTCTATCCTGTGTAATCATGGAGAAGCCTGGGATGCTGACGACGTCAGTGGGAGACAGAAAAGTTTCTGTAATCAGCACAATATCCGGTTGCTCCTTCGAGATAGAAGGAGAAGCTCATTTCTGTTCCTTTTGAAGGACCTGATATTCCAAAGAAGAATGTTGGGGAAGGAAGCCATATATTTATTTTATGCTACCAAGAACCGAGATAAAGACTTGAAACTTTTGTGCATCAGAATTACAGCCGCGAAGGCGAGCATTGAGGGTTTTGACGGTCGACAACATTAGGTCAACATCCACCAGCGAGTGGAGGGCTTGGAATTCGCTCATCAATTCATTGAGCTTAGCCCCCTCATCGGAAGGAGCCGACTGAATACGGGGCAGTGGCCCATACCTAGCAGCATCAGCGTATGACAAAGCACGGGGCGCGTGCTCTTCAGATGATAGAGGACCCATGGGGCGGGATGGCCTGGCGGGACGGCCAGGAGGGGAGGCCAAGCTACTCAGATTTTGCCGGTTTCTGAGGCCCGGAAAGTCAATCGCCGATGGAGGGGCAAGAGGCTTTGGTCTCTTGGAGTCTCGACGACTAAGATAATCTAGTAATGAGGGGCAGCCGGAATAATTGGCTGTGTGCTGCCGGTCGCGGTTCGCACACCTCGCAGGGGTATCGGGCGTCTTGGAGCAATCCGCAGTGTGGTGTTTGGCACCGCATTTAACACACCTCGGGGGCATGTTGCACTTTGACGCCGAGTGCCCGAAGGCCTGGCAGCGGAAACACTGAGTGTGGTTCTTGTTGGAATAGTATCTGTCCCAATCGACCCTGGTTGAAAACAAGAAGCCAATTTTATTGACTTGAGAGAGACTAGTACCAGCAGGGAAGTTGACACGGAAGATTGGCTTGGAAGTCGATTTGCCAATCTGTGATATGGAGGCTGGCAAGAAGCCGTGGTTCTTGATTTCAGACAAGACAGCGTCCGTAGGGGTGGCAGGGACGCCACGAAGGACAACGCTAAGGATCTTCTCGCTATTCCTTGTAAAAGTAAAGAAATTCTTATTGTTTTCTTTAAGGAAGTTGATCATTTTTTTATGCGAGTCAAGATTATCGAATTGGATGCGAATCCCTTCTTTGAGCAATTTAAGTTTAAAGGTTTTACCGCATAAGTCCGTGAGTTGCTTCTCGAAAACCGAGGCTGAGCAAGAAAAGTGGGAGGCATAGATAGGTGGGACTTTCTCCGAGGTACGGCGCGAGTGGCTGTTGGGTTCCGCCGCTGGTATGTCAGTGTCGGTATTAGCGCGACCGTCGGTAATAGTACCGACTGGGGACGGATTCTGCAAGGGAGCGCTGGAGTTCGCTACCAAACAATCGAATGCGTCAGCAAGAACGCTGAAACGGTTACTTGTCGGGACGCATGGGATGGCGTCCATTTTGATCGATGAATTGACGGGGGCCACGCGGTTAGGGTTTTCGAATTTAAAAGAAACGCTGCTAGCAGCGGCCAATATGGGCAATTTCTCGCGATTCGCGAGAAGAATTCTACTTAACTCCTCCTTGGAGGGGGTACCACTCGCTTGAAGGCTAGCCGGCATGTCGATTAATTTAATCGACTTAGAACGAGGCTGCGAATCAGTAGAGCTATCGGACGAGAATGAGCTCTGCATGAGTAAATTATTACATGGGGTTGGGGATACCGATTCCCCAACCGTTAGGTGAATAAACCTAAAAGCACCTGCGGGAGAGTGATTGATGAAAAGCGAATGATTCACCGAACTGCTAGTAGTGGCAGACTCCACCAGCCCACCTTTATCGGGAAAAATTTCCTCCAGATTTAACGACTTATCCTCAGTTGTCAGCTCTCGCAGGGAAGCAGCCACGGAAATAACGGGCTCCACGCTCGGGGCAGCCACGTGGGCGTCTAGGTTAGGTGACTTCGACTTCACGGCGAAGGGCCGCTTTCGCCGACCACTAAATACTGGGATCCCAGAATCAACGATCGAACTCGTGCTAGAAATCACTTTAGCAAAGGACAAGACACTGATAAACGGTCGCAAAAAACTTTGAAACTCGCACGGTGCGCATTGGCGATGCACACTCGCCGGTTGCCACGCAAGGAATGACGCGACATAATGCCCCGAGGCGCGCGCCTCTGCGCCTTTTATTGTTTTGCGTATGGAACATTCTGGATTTCCTAGCTTTCTATTGTTTTTTTCCGGGAGGGCTCCAGAACAGTCCCGCTTTCCGCTCGCGCCACGCTTCCAGAATCATCTCGATCATTTTCGATCGTTCGTCCATGCGCTCGTCGGGCTAATGACCATAGTAGTCGACGCCCATAACAATAATCAATCAATCAATCCATGCGCTCATTAACGGCGCAACACGCGACGGACGCACACACGCACACATTCAAATTAACGCTTACAAATGGCAATTTTGTCACCTTTCCTAATTTTTGCTAAATATGAACAGAGGGGTGCTTGAATGTGTATTTCATCTTTAATAAAACGATGATTGAAATTAATAATTTCAAGAAAACTACGTAGTTCTACAACTGTTATAGACTTCCGATAATTCTGAATAGCCTTAACTCGATTAGGTAAAGGTGTAATTCCAAAAGCGTTCACTTTATAACCTAGATAAGTCACTTCTGTTTTTCTGAAAACAGTTTTTGTAATGTTTATAGTTATTCCAAAATCTTTAAGACGTTGAAGTAAAATTCGATGATGCTTTTCATGTGCTTTCAAACTCTGAGATGCAACAAGAATATCATACAGATAACAATAAACAAAATCAAGTTCTCGAAGAACAAAATTCATGAATCCTTGAAAAGTTTGCGCTGCATTTCAAAGACCAAATGGCACAAAAACGAATTTGTAGAGTCTGAATGGCGTTGTCACAGCAGTTTTTTGAATATCTTCTTCTGTCACCGGGATTTAATAATAAGCTTTAACAAGATTAATGGTTGTAAACATCTTTTTACTATGAAGACGGGAAGAAAAATCTTGAATGTGTGGAATAGGATAATTATCTCAAATTGTGATTGAATTAAGCCGACGATAATCTCCACAAGGTCTCCAATCACCTGTTTTCTTTGGAACCATATGCAAAGGACTTGCCCATTAACTACAAGAAGGACGACAAATTCCTTGTTCTATCATGGCATCAAATTCAGTCTTAGATAATTTAAGTTTATCTGGAGGAAGACGATGCAGACGTTCAACAATTGGAAGACCTCGCGTAACAATGTGATGTTGAACTTGGCGAGTTGAAGTAACATTAATACATCTGGGTCTTGTCACTTCAAGAGATTGTAAAAAGATTTGGCTGAACGGATTATCTTTTTTAACAGAGGATAAATTTGCCGCAGTTTCTGTAAGAATATTTGATGAAGTGAGTTGTGGTATGCCATCACGTAAACAACGATGCTTAAGATCAATTAAAAGTCCAAAGTGTTTTAGAAAATTTGCTCCAAAAATTGGTCGCTGGAGATCAGCGACACAAAACTGCCACTTGAAAACACGTCTAACAAGGAGAGTGCAAGATCTTGGGGTCACAGATTTAGTTCAAATTTTGTAGGATGGTAGATTTAGTTTCCCTGTTAATGAAGATATATGGTTATAGGGGCCGCTACTCAATAATTTTTTAGATATTTGCAATTGAAGATGCAATTCATTCGTTAAATTCAGTTCTGTAGCAAATGATTATACGTAATGGGTGTAGCGTAGCAGCAACGGATCGGTGTTCCTCGTCGTTAGGAACCGGGTTCGAGGGTGAATAACTTTTTTTTTATTTTATGTCTATTTTTATATATAAAGATACATAATGGAGTTTGTAGCCATAATTAATCGGTGTAAGGATAGTTTGATACAGGAAATAGCAGTATATAAAGGTTCTCTGGAAAGTAGGAATTTATTCCAAGGTTAAGGAGATTGTACAAGAAAACGGGGTTACAAATTTTCTTTATTTCCTATCACAACTCAAACATTATGACTACTTCAAACGTTTCTCAATCTCTCTAATCAACCAGGCGTCCAGGAGTAACTCTGTTCTCTCCCGTTCGAATGGCGTCCAGGTATTTTTTCCGAACTCTCCATAACGAACGGGCGACCAGGAGTATCCTTCCGTACTGTCCCGTATTCTACTTGGGGCGTCCAAGAGATGCTCTGTCCCCTCTCGATCGACAGGCGTCCAGGAATGTTCGCCGAACTCTTCATGTCAGCCAAGTGTTCAGGAACAAATTCCCGTACTCTCTCTCCCCGTATTCTCCAGGCAGGCGTCCAGGAGGGTATCGCCGTACTCTCCTGCTGGAGTTTCCTTTCTTTCTACTCTCCGGGCAGACGCTCAGATATTATCGCCGAACTCTCCTGCCGGAGTTTCCTACTAACTACTCTCCAAGCAGGCGTCCAGGTACTGGTCGCCGAACTCTCTTGCCGGAGTCCCTAGTCTAGTCCGAGAGCGGCCGATGGTCCTTACCTCGTCCTCTCTCCCAAACTGGCAAATAGGTCGGCTCTTGTCGCGTGCTCCTATTTTATATCCGCCGGCTGCTATCCCGCGGCCGCGTTATCAAGAATCTCGTCGCTAAGTTGGCGGCTCGTGACTCACGGCCAACAAACTCTCACATCGCGATACAATTCGATTCTTCTAGAACGCTCGCATTTTTGGAATATTCGCGACGCTATATAATATTCCGACCTATTCTACACTATTTCTAAGGGATTTCTAATGGATTTCTACGTATGATTCTCAATGAATGTTATTACTTTATTCGTTCGCGCTTTACATATTTTCCTATACACTACAAGTTTAAATAAATTGGAAATGAAATGTCTTTAATGACTAGAAATCTTATAAAAGTTTTATTTGTCATTATCATTCGTATAAGTACTGATAAGGTTTGGTCAAGCCCTTGCATTGTGTGTGTGCGTGCGTGCGTGCGTGCGTGTGTGTGTGTGAGTTAACGTGTATATTCTAAGTACTAAGTGTTCTAAGTATTAATTCTGTTCTATGCTATTTCTGTTTCTAACTA